TGGAAAATATACCTCTTACCAAGATTTGAATGCATCCTACAGTTTATTCAAGAGAAAGTTAATCAATACACTCCACTGTATTCCATGGATTTGAGGCCACAAATGACTATTGATTAGAGAGAAGACAGCAAAATCCACTCATACATAACTGAAGCTAAACAAATTCAGACTGCAAATAAAATTTTTATTTAACACTGTGACTAATTAGCCATTGGGATATGTCATGGAGTTCTGGATTTTCAACAGAAAACAACAGGTTTTGATCAAGCTTGAATATTATTGAGCTAAAAACTGCTGTTGCAGAGTAAGGCTATGGTCTACCTCAGATTTCAGGAGTGGTTATCCCAGATGGGAGAGCTGCTTCTTTCAGGTTATATCAAGGGTCCCATTAAGTCCCCTTTATACACTGACTGTTGAAGCTGTAAAGAGGCAAATAAAAGGTTGCCTTTATTACGGACTAGTTTTGCAAATAATTGACTGGTTGCAGTGGTGAGTCAGAGGCAACAAGCTGAGGAAGCAAGAAAAGCCACAGGAAGAGCAGCCTGTAGAGAGAAAATGTTCTACATAATCCAGAATTCACTGGAAAGACAGAGGAAGGTTCTCTGGCCTCTTTTAAGCAGTAAGTCAGACTAGCTGACAGAAACAGACCCCACCCCAACCTTAAAAGAAAATCTGACCCAAGAGAAGGAAAGCTAGCTTGTTTTGCTTTTTAACTGTTCTAAGCTTCTTTAAAGCATGTATTAGCACTGTATTTGCACTGAATTCTTGGTGAGAGAAATTCAGGAAGTATCACCTGTTTGTGTATAGCGCTAGGGAAGACACTAAAAATTCGTGTACTCTGTAGTTTGGCAGAGAGATTGAGGGAAAGTGTCCAGCAGAAAGTTTTAGCTCATTTTAAAGTGGACTAGATTCTGAGTTTATTGTGCCTTGTTACAAACAACCTTGATATTTTATATCAGCCTGACACATAAATCCTTCTTTTAACAAACACAATCTTTCAATATTGATGGGAATATGAACCTATACATTAACAATCAAGATCCTTAAAACTGTTTCCATTGCTCTGTTTCCTTTAAAAGAACTCCAAGGCACAATAAACTGACACCATTTTCCTCCACAAATGTCCCAAACTTCCCAATATCTTATGTTCCATTTCTCACTCTACAGAGGGCTGCTTCCCTCTGGAGTCTAACAAAGATCATATAACTCCTTGTTGCTTTGCAGGACAATTTACTAATGCGGTAGCAGCAGTGTCTGTCAGCAATGCCTCTGAGCAATAGCCCCAGAACTTAAGAATCGGGGAATATGAAGAATGTGGCTTGTGGCACATTCTTTGTCCACTAGATTTTATTTTTAGCTGTAGAACACAAGTAAAAGCAACTTCAGTAAGAAACGCAGAGTCAGCTGGTATAAAAGAGTTTTAACTCTTAACTCTCCAAAGAACTTCCCTGGAAATTGTTTTCCTCATCTGAGCTACAGCTATGAAGGAAAACAGAAGCTGTAGAGAAGAAATAATTTGAAGAAGGATTCTTATCTTTTAAAAGATACATTCCAAACAAAAATCGCAATACTGTCTCTGGAAACTGGCTGAAGAACAAAATTTAACTGTAATGCACCTTCCAACTCACAAAAGGGAGGAGCCCCATCTGCTTTCCTTGCAACTGACATAACTGTAATTGTTCATTTCTGGGAAAATGAGTAACATAGCATCCATACGAGTGGGGATTATCAAAGTTTTCTGCCTTCCCCAAGGCAAAAAAGTGGGGGGTTTTTTTGGCAAACACAGGATATTCTTTCCTTCATAATTAAATTAACTACCAGTAGGTCTTCCAAAGTAAACTGGATCTGCTGCGAATCAGCCCTAAAATGCCACACCCATTTCACACAGCTCAACTGCATCAACGTTGCAGTTATAAGTTATTTTGAAGCAGTTGATATTTCAACGAGGGCAAGCTTTAGCCTCCGTTTGGCTCTTTTACAAAAAGCATCATTTCTCCAGTGAAACCAGTTTTACCTTTCATCTCCCACCACAGAAACACGCACAGATTTCTAATGCCAATGGCATACTGTTTTGAGAAAGGTTTCACAAATTTGTTTGGCAAGTTTTTCACCTACTGAACATATTATGGGAACAATGACATGGCAACAGTGAACACTTAATTTTGGAAGCAATTCTGAATGAGTGAGTATATTATTGTGAATAAAGACTGTCTTGGATATGCTTTAATACACAAGTTATGTCCCACATGACACAGACTGAATA